TTTAAAATATTTTTGAAACCCGAATGAACCGTAGTTGAAAATAGTGATATCACAAAGGGAAAGTTGTTTTATAGCATGTAAATACTATTATTGTTGTACCGAAAACAAAAAGAGATTGAAATGTTGCGATTAAATGTTGCTATGGCGTGTAAAACTGGAAATCGAGATTCGCATATCAAAACGAATTTTCTGTCACCGCTGTAGTTACTAAAGTTGTATACAGTTTCTAAACAATACAATATTAAGTGTCACATCACTAAATACTTTCAGGTAATATTTTCGTTTTGATAAAAACGTAACATAGACTATGGGTATGGTTTACAGATTCGCCGATCAAATGTTTTATGCTACACAAATCCTGTTGTACGAAAATAATGCAATTTTAATAAATTTGTATTAATATTATTATTCGCTGAATTCGCATTCGTTTTTCGTAGAGGTGAAAATCATCTACTTTGTCGACACTAACGTATATTTATTTTATTTAAATAGAAATTATATCTAATATTCAAATAAAAACGTTACGTATAAATTCGCTAATTAATTACTGATGTTTCTCCATATGCAATTACAAAAAAGAGAAAAGGAGAATAATAATAATGGCGCATTCAATATCAACATACGTAATATATCTTGAGTATTTGTCGCTCGTATCGGTCGAGTGATTTCACAATAAGGTGTTTATGAACAAATTATTTAAACCGAGTGCGATGGTTCACGCGCGTATACGATGCGAGTTTTGTTCGATTTCGGGGAAAAAAATCGATTCGCGTTCAAGCATTTCTCCCATACATTTCCACAACAATAAATGTTGAAATTGCATTTGGCTGATGAGGTAATGAAGCGTCTACACCACAGCACATAAATACGATTTATTATATTTTCGACAACGATCATATTATATATATATGTATGTATGTATACATATCGTTTGAGCGAGAACATGCGTCGTAAGCTACCCCGTAAAAGTTCCTTTTCACAGTGCTTCACTCGTTTAAAGAGCAGGTCTAATAACTGCGATAAACCGTTATGCCGAGTAAGTACAGGCATAACAATATCACACGATAACGGACGATTTACGTTTAAGAGTTCAAGTATACACGTGCATAGTACCATTATATTATGATCGCGCACTGTCGGAGCAGTACATTTATGTGTGTGCGTGCGAATATTCAACCATGTACGAAGCCGTTGATAGAGTAATAATTTTATATCAGTTTTATATCATCACGTGTTAAGAGAAATACAAGTGGTATCTTACGTATCTCGATAAACACATGTTTACTGTTACAACTTGGAAAAAACCCTTTTTTTATGTTCATAAATACATACATAACTAATATATTCAAAGTATTTTTTTTTAATAAAACAACATTCTTTAGTCAAACTATAATAACTACATTATTATTTTTTATTACATGCGATTTCATTGATATCATATTTCTGTTGTAATTTATGAGTTTTCAATAAGAGTTATTTACTTGGCTCAAATTTAGACACAATATCGTTAAACCGAAAAATAAATTATAAATATTTTTATATTATTTTTATACGATTATTTTTATAAAATTAAATAAAAATCAATGAGATTTTAATTATATTAGGTTAATGATAAATTAAAACCAGTAATATTTAAAAATTTAATGATAAGACAATTAAAAAATCATAATGATCAAATGATCAATTACAATAATTTATTTATAAAAGACCTATTAAAATACAATTTAATACACAATACGCGACAGAAAAATTTGAATTACCCTAAACTGAACATTATTGGTAGCAATAATCATGTTAATTAAAATTTAAAAGTGATTAAAATATAAAGTTAATAGTAATTATATTCTGTTATTATAATTATATTATATAATATTATATATATATATATATATAATTATACTATATAATATTATATATATATATATAATTATATTATATTCTAACATTGAAATTCCACAAATGTATTATGTTTAATCATTAAATGATTAATAGGTACTTTTTAGTGTTATTTGTACAAATAAAGTTTATTATTGTTTTTTGGTGAAAGTTTTAGACAAAAAAAAAAAAAAAATTAAATACTGGATATTTACATTTTAAATATTCGAGTAAGGTCTGAAACTTTGAAAAAGTAAAAGCTATGTTATCATTAATCTAGAATCATGAAAATCAAAGCTCATAACAGAGAATCTGGTAGATATTAATTAATATGGCTTGTTTGCTGGCTTACTGTAATTCTATATGTATTGTATTTGAAATACAAAAGTAATTTCGTGGTGATAATCAATTTCAAACTTGTTACTATTTAATTGGAAATGTAATTTATGGTATCTATCAAAGTATAATTATTATTCATTTTTCGGTGAAATTAATTTAAAATCAGCTGCACCTTGCATTTGAATCTTAATAAAGAAAGTAATGAAAAAAGTACCCTAAATATCTAACACTGTCATTGAATAATTTCACACGATTTTGTTTTAGATTCAAAACACATCAGGGATAAGCTATTGGTTTTACGAATACGCGTATTTCTTTTTCCGTCTGAAGACACTTTTTAAGTAATAAATGTTCTCCGATTCGTTAATATAACATATTCAATTCGTGTCCATTCAAAATTAAATGCAAATATATTAAATATCTCACACACATACATATATATATTCAGTAGTTATATTATTTTAAGACAATAAAAAAATCATTGAACGAAATACTTAAATCTTTAGATTAAATTAAAACTGATAATTGTATACTTTAGCAATAAATTTAAATGAAAAATAAACGAGAAATATAATTGAGATTTAAATAAACTGTTTTTCGAGAATCGATTAGATTTATATGCATTAAATCAGCGCTTTTATGTGTAGAGTAATAAATTATACATTGAGACGTCACGTAAAAATTAGCAAAATACCGTTGAAAAAACCTAGTTAAAGAGTAATTAATTACAATTTTATTTATAAATATTAACAGTTTTGACTGATAAAAATTACTGAAATTTTGAAAGTAGTCATTTACTACTAGTCATAAGGATTATGGATCAATATTTTGTTATATCTAATGAATGACTTAACAAATTTTCATTTGTTCATGGTAAAAAAAAAAAAATGTTTTAGTTTTCATAATTATAAATGTATACGTCACACATACCTATTGTCGACGATCCATTGTTAGTATTAATAATTCATTATCGAAATATTAGAAAGAGAAAGAAATGATTAACGGACTATGTTATAAAAATGTATGTAAAATAAATATAATTTTAGTAATTAATTAAAGAAAAAAAGACTAGAAAAAAAGGCAGAACGGAGATAATGATGGGGAAATAATTGAATTGCTGATGACCGTTGAAGAGGAGGCATTTTAAATTCATAGTGAATATCAAAGTAGTTAAAAAAGTTAAAAAAAGTTAAAAAAAAAACTCATAAGTTTTATTAATTATGAATAGAAAGGAAACACAATATTATAATATGCAATATTTCATAAGTAGTTTATTGTTAAGATTACACAGAAAAAGATACTCAATTCGAAGAATATGTAAAAGAAGCAAATTATTATCAATTCATGAACGTAAAACCCGTTAGTAGATTTAGATACTAAAATCACGTATGACAGAGGATTAATATTTTGGTATTATTCGACGAATTGAGGCGGAAAAAGGGTTCGTTTAAGTTGTGAAGATTTTAGGAGCATATGTGTGGCAATATGAGCATAGGGAGTAAGAAAAAGGGATTTCACATGAAGAAATAATAAGAATAGGGAAGTAAACGTAATTAGAGTATCAGCAGTTTTACTACTCTTTTTGCCGATAAAGCTAGTAAATTCAATGGAACTGGAAGGTTTTTCTAAAGAGTGAAATTTATAAATGAATGCTTTTATGAAATGGATTAGATGGGAAATTTGAGAATTAAAGATATTTAAGAAAATAATGAGTAAACACGATCAGTCGGAACAAAATATAAATCATTTTTTTGAACGAGATAATGATGTGGCATAATACATTGGACATCAGTATTGTAATTAGGAACAGTTGACGTGAAGGGAAGACAGAGTAACCCAATTTATTTTTCCAAAATTTTAGCGTATCCATCACAAATGGAGCAATTTTTAGGTTAGAAAAATGTTAGGTATGTTATTATTTAGAGTAATAACCACCCTTATTTTTTTTCTTACAATTCCAGCACTGGTAGCACCTATCCGATGAGAATCATATAAACGTTTGGGAATATTGAATAAATATTATAAAAAGGAAAAAAATGGCAATCTATAGCTATAAGAAAATTAAGGACTGTGCGTAAGTTATACCAGTATAGCAAAAATTGATAGTATAACCATAAAAGTTGCCCTTTTATGGTTATACGAGTACTGTCAATTTTCACTGTAGAATAAATTGATGACAGAGAGTAACGACAAATATTAATGGACTTGGTGGTGAGGATATTGATCTAATGTGGTCCTATAGAAGAATGTTCAATCGTTGTTCTAAGTAAAATTGTGAGTATCAAAGAAATAAAAAAAAATATCAAAAAACACAATACCCTTTCAACTTTAAATAGCTGTATGTTGGTAGATAAAAAAAAAAAAATATAAAATACTATAACGGATTGCAAAAATTGACGCGTGAGAACATTTCGTGAAAGCTTTCCGCTTCAGAGAACGGAATATTCTTACGATTTTTTAACCGCTAAATGACACCTGCAGGTCGCGTACGGCTGAACACTACAACGGATGACGAGCGAAAGATTTATCAAATCCTGGACACCGCATGGACCAGAGTTCAGTGGTGGATGCGTGTGGGTAGGTGAGTGAGCATGGGTTTGAAAAAGGGGAACTGTGCAAATGGTGGACGTGGCAATCGCGCGGGAGGTTGACGGAGCATAGGTTTGAAAAGGGGGAACTGTGCAGATGGTGGACGTGGCAATCGCGCGGGAGGTTGACGGGGCGTCGAGACGTTGATGCGCGAGCGCCGTAGTGGTAAAGAATATAATTGTTGGCGAAACGTTTACTTTTTGTGATGCGTCGGGTCGGTGAAGCAGTGCACGCATGTCATAATGAGCAATATGAACGCAAAGTTGAGAAAACACGTGACGGCTATTATGACGAGCACTTCGTTGGTCGTGTAGCACATGCTGTCCGGGGCGGCGTGCAGCACGTGCGGTGACGTCCTGGCCGCTGCCGTGTCGTTGTGACTAGCCACCAGCATGTTGTGCCGGTGATGGTGCCCGACTGCGGACGACCATCGGCTCGGCGGTGCCATTTTATGGTGCTTCCCGTGGTGCCGCACCGATCGTCTGTCGTCGTCGATCTCGGCTCCGCCTCCGTCGTCACCACCACCGCCACCGACGCTACCCACCCCGTCGTCACCACCACCACCGTCGCCGTCGTCTTCGTTCATCATTTTCGTTCAACGGTCGTGGCCGCCGGTCATTGCCGTTTAACGGCCGCCGTCCGGGCCCGTCGTTACTGCGATGTTGTGTACTACGTACGTCTATGTAAGAAAAAACAAAATAAAGAAAAGTTTTTTTTTTATTCAATTCCATCAGGTAAAATAAAACGTGAAATAAGAATATTTTAAATATTCGGAAGCGATTTCCGTTCATACGCATCTACATTAGACAATAGGTTTATAGTTATCATTGTATATTATTATTATTTATAATACATATTATTCATAGTTAACGTTGTTACATCCAGTGGCGTACATACGGGGGGGGGGGGGTTTAAACCTCCCTCAGGGCCAAAAAAAAATTGTTTTATTATTGATGACGTGTAATATATTCGTAGTTTCATTATTACGCTTTGAACTTAAAATATACAACTATACAAATATTATGATAATTAAATAATTAAATTGATAGGTGTTTGAAAAATGTAAAAGGAAACTGTAAATTGGTAAAAAAGTTGTATAAAATAATATCTATTTATAGCAGTTATTTATCTTATTTGTCTGTGCAACGAAAAAAAAAGATTATTTTTGTTAACCCCCCCCCCCCCCCCCCAGAGCAAGATTGAATGTACGCTACTGGTTACAACCATTGTTACCGTAGCACCAGTTACGGTGTATTATACAATATTATATTGCTTATGGATTTCACGGACATTACGTGCACATTAAATTGTACATGTACTGCATTACAGATGTCGATGATGCGTCGTCTTCTATACAGCCAAGTAATCATAATAGTAAATTAATAAAACTAAGAAGAAGCGGTTTTGATATTATTGGACAGCAAAGAGAAATAAATGAAAGGAAAATCGTCGGTCCGAAAATATATTGCTCTCGACGCGTAACTATACGTGTAGCTTATAACTACATACGTATGTATACTTACGCGAATAGACTTTAATGTAGTAATATAATGGAGTCACGCGGACTGACGACGATCGCTTAGAATTGTCATATTTCGACCACAAATCCTTTCTACTTCCATAGAAATACACACACGCACCAGATATCTGCCACAGGTTGCAGGAACAAAGTGTTCGAGCTCATTTTGTGCAAGTTACATCGTATTACTACGACGACCACGTGGTATACTTTTAAGCTCACCCCACGATGTGACGTACTGAACGTGGCACACACCGGGACCCACAGTGAATTCTAAATACGATTTCCTTTTATTAAAAAAAAAAAAAAAACGGTACCATATTGTCGTTTGCGTACGTGCGTTGTAGCTGTTGTGATATTTTTATAACGGATGTTGTATTAACCGAAGAAGGCTGTAAAACGCTACATGTGAGGTTTATTTAATAATATTTAAGACCAGCTAACTGCTGAGGGTTAGGTGCAATTATAATTGGTACAGTCTGAACACAACATTAAGGGTGGAAAGAGGGTGAGAGGTTTTGATAAATAAGTTGAGTGCTTAGTAAGAAAACATTTTCTTGGAATTACCGATGCAGTATTCAAGCAATATATATATATAAATGCATATATGCATATATTGTTGGTCTTAAATCAACCCGCATACTATATTCCATTTAATATTTGAATAATAATATTGCATGATCATGTTTTACATTTATTTTACTACATAATATATTTTATTAATTAAAATAGAAATTTAAAGAAAAATATTACTTCTAAGAATGAATAATTATTAAATTTGTTTAATTAAGTATTTTTTGAAAATCGAAAGTGCTTGTACATTAAGTTGTACGTGAATCATAAAATGGCAATAATTAAAATTAATTATCTAGTTTTGCATTAAATACATACAATATATTGTTTGACTATAAAAAATGTATTGTTATGTATACATTAATACATAACGTATGGGTTAAGCTTCGACTGGCATTAATTTATTCTTTGTTGAGAAACTATTCTGTCATTGCGTCACATGTATTATTAAATAAATTATATATATGTATAAATAGAACCGAAAAATACATAGTTTGATGAAAATACGAAAATAATTAATATAAATCGAAACTCAAGGCTATTGTTTTGAAACGAATCAACCCTAGAACCTAAGGCTTAAAACTAAATATAAAACGTCATCAGTCTTAATAATGCTTACAATTTCAATTTTTTATTTATTTAATTTATTATTATTTTTATTTGTAAACATTCAATCATTTTTGTCGTCAGTTATTTTTATAACCAACAAATTTGTTTTTGAGACAGTAATTTAATAATTGATAATGTTACAATAGGAACAACAAGATAATCAGAGTATACATGTTAACTTTGACGGATGTGTTTCAAAATGATTAATTAATGATTAATTATTAGGCTATCAGTTACATAACAGAATTTAATATTCTAAATACTCGTCTACAATAGAAATATATAGTATAAATATGTATAGATATTTAAGCGCTGATATCGGATAGCACATATCCATGCAAGTTGGCTGACAGTGAAGAAATATTCGCGCTCGATACAGTTGTATTATAAAGTCAATTTTCAAATAATCATACCAAATTATTAATTCAGCCAGAAAAAAAAAAAAACACAGTACTAATGCGGGTGTATTAATAATACATTTAATTTGTTTTTTTATTTATAAATATATATTTTATAATTTCTTTAATATTTCACATTGGTATGAAGAGCATATTTTAATATTAATGCAATTATCCAATACACTATAAGTGTATTCGTGATCCACAAAAATATTGACGGATTGTTAGAAGAATATTTTCAGTTTAAAAAGATTTATAATTGTTTTTTACATAGAATATTATTTATTATATACCTACGGATATGAAGAAATACTGACTGAAAATGGAGTGACGAATATATACCAGTAACAATTATAATTTTATAGTGAGTTAAGAATGATATTAGAAAATTATGTATCTAATTTTTGTATTTGAAATATTTCAAAACTTTGAATTTATAATATATCTATAATATAGGAACTAGAGTTTTGTGATACCTGTTTACGTTCTAAAGCATACTTTTTTATATTAATTATGGTATGAAATATCAATATTTTATAACTATTGAATTTGGACATAAAATGTACGTTTAATTTCGAATTTGAGGTTATTTTTTGTACATAAATAGTGGTGTTATATACTGTAGTATACTGTTATATACTGCACCACAATTTATACATTGACATATTAACATATTATAATTTATTTTGACCATCATTTGCAAACTAAAATAATATATTTGAGGCATTGCTTCAATAGACAAAGATAGGACGGTGGCATAGAATGCGTTCTCTCTTTAATATAAAGTCGATGATGATTATATTTTTTTTTTTTTTAGTTTAATTTGTTTGTCACTTATATATACAGTTGACTCACTGTAATTCAAACCTTCGATAGTTTAAAAGCTTCGGTAATTCAAAGTAAATGCTTGGTCACTTGAAAATCACGCGGTAATTCGAATAAAAACAATGCATTTAAGTACACTCGGTAATTCGAAATTAAATGTTGGAAAAACTTGCAACTAACACGTGACAATTCGAAGTATCATCCGTTTAATGCTCGGCAATTCAAAGTATATTCAGCAAATTTATTTTATTTGTATTCTTATTATTTTTTTGTTAATAATTTACTACACAATCGTGAAGAAATTTAGCATATTATTTTCGATAACTATAGAATTAATATTGTGAAAACTTTATCGTTTTATTTCTTAATCGTCACTAATTATAATTTATCTCTTCGATAGGTGTCAGCCGAATTTAGTTTTATTTTAATTTCGTTTGGTCAGTTGTAAAGTTCTTGTGATGAGTGAGTCAAATTCAAAAAATATTATTGAAAAAATAAAACTAAATTCAAAGAAGCAGAAAATCATTACAGATTTCCTCAAAAAATATTAATTTTTTTATAATAATAATTTAATTTACATAGTATAATTATTATATAATTAAAATTTATATTTTAAAAACAATAAATAACTAATACCACCTAATTTGCTGAAATAATTAATAATTATGTACAGTAAAAAACAAATTTTTTTTCTTAACTCAGTAATTTTTTTTTTTGCTCTCTTGTTTTTTTGAATTACTCAATACTTTGAACTCTCGGAAATTCGAAATTTTTTAACAAAACCGTCAACTTCAAATTATCGAGAGTTGACTTTATATATATATATGTGTGTGTGTGTGTTTGTGTGTAAATATTCAAATAAGCTACGTAACATAGCGTACCTACCTATTATGTAAATATTTTATTCTATTAAAAGTTATTTGATACATTTTCATTTTTATGTTTATTGAAGAAATAATTTCTATAACTATTTATGATTTCAGATATCAGTCAAGTAATGGTTGTATTACTTTAATTTTATTCAAAATATACAATTTAATCGAATATTTATTTGTGTTCTTAAAAATAAAATTTAAACAAATATATTTCTTAAAAATTTTCAATTTTATCCTATAAATAATATAAAAGCACGTGTTTTAAATTAAAAATATTTACTTCAAATACTACATAATAAATCTATATTTCTAAGCTAATTTATGCTATAAGTTTTTGCATCTTACGAGGCTCGCCCGTGACACTTTTCGGTTATTTTCTTGGTAGACTAGAGACTCAAATATAAATATTAAAACCATCTAAATCTAAAAATAAATCAACTTAAAATAATTAATACTGATCTTTGTGTTATTTTATTAAGCTTTCAACACAAAGTTATTAAAGATCAAAAATAAAATTATATGCGTAAGATTACTTAAATATACATTTATCATTATCATAAAATAATATTAGTGAAACATAATAAACTGAGATAATAATAAAATAAGAGTTAATTAAATTTAGGTCGAAGATCTATTAAATTTTACCAGTAACAGATAACATATTCAGTAATTAAAGCCGTGATAATTTAAATTAACAAGGTAGAAAATAATTTTGGACTACAGAATAAGCCGTTTGTGTAGAACAGCTCTAGGAAGAGAAATGAAGGATTTTGTTAATGCCAAAAGATCAAAAATAAATTCGGAACATGGTTTATCATTCACAGGGCTATTATGTTATAGGATATTACTAGAATCAATGATGGAGACGTAAGAAATTTTG